TAAAATAAATTAAACCATTTTACAGGAGAAAAAAATGTAGGCTCTGCTACAAAAGCATCTCAAAAGGCTGTTGAAGAAAGATCAGCCTCAGGTAAAAGATGTTAACATATAATAAATATAATGATCATTTACAAATACTTATCTGAATTTTCAGTGAAACCAAACAAAATAGTAAATTGTTCATTTCTAACAAAAAATGTTTATTTTTTAGGTGATCCACAGAAGGGTTATTCTACAGCACCTCCTCATGGTGATTTGGAATTGAGCACAGGAGGAAAGAATGAAGAATCTGAAAAAGACAAACAAGGAGGAAAAGGATAATATGAATACCTCACCAAAAACTTCAAGATGTATTCGGTGACAATGTATCTTTAAAATAATTTAAATATGTAATTAGTAAGACTAGTCTTTTATTTTACTAGGAAAAAGTACTGTTTATTTTGCTAAGAACAATTTGTGTTATGGTAATTTATTTTGCTAAGAACAATTAGTATTATGTATAATTGTTGTATTATAAATTCCAATATAAAAATGTTTAGAAATGATGGTTATATTCAAAAGGTTATTGAGAATGAACATGTGATAATGTATGATTGTTCATTTCTATACCTACTAACTACCTTTAATGTTTTAGTGAAAACAAGGAAAAAGATTCATCAGCAAAACTCATGAACAGGTAAACAATTATAAATAGTAATGAACATTTACATATAAGTAAATATTCATTTGTTCTCAATGTTAAATAATAATGAACATTTTTTTATAACTAAATGTTCATTTGTGTTGTTTAATATGATCAGGAATGATGAAAAGAAAATATCAATTGCAGAAAAGAGTAAAAACACTGGAAAGGAGAAAGTTGAAAGGTATAATTTATAATTTATTTATATACATATAAATGTTCATTTAATGTTCTTTATATAACTCTACTACATTTATTTAACGTCAAGACCACAACGTGAAAAGCAAACAATTCCTCTTGCTTTCCGATCTCCGTACATGATCAAGTACAAAGATCTATTCAAAGATGAGAAGACAATGAACCAAATTGCAGTAGACTTTGCTCTCAGTGATAAAGATGAAAGGTAATTACTTAAACAAACTTAATTAAAGTGAAATATATTATCTTAAAATATGTTCACATCTATATTACTAAATGTTCATATTGCAGTGTTCTTATATACTATGATGGGTTAAATCTCATTAATAGAAAAGAAATGAAAACACTTGGAGATGATGTTGAAGTAACAAATTGTGTGATAGATGGATGGGCAACAATTCTTAATCATAAAAAGCCAAAAAGCAAGATTTACTTCTCCACAATGCTTCATGTTAGTTTTACTTCTTTTTTTTTATAGTAAAAGTGTTGTTATGTTGTTATAATTGCTAGATTATCTTTAATTTTGCAAATGATTGTTTCTATTTCAACAGCACATTATGTATATAAATAGAGTTTGTCAGGAAGGCTCATCCATGAAAACAAGAATTGATAAATTCATTGAAAGAATTGACAATGAGTTGAAGATGAATAAGATTGATAGCATTGTTGGATACAAACATGTATTGCCATGAAATTCATAATAAAAATGTTCAATTATGATTAGTAAAATGATCAATAATAACTTAATATTTGTTCAAGTCTTCTTCCCAGTATCAACTTCTCAACATTTTTTTCTCTTGTGCGTCAATCATATAGAAGAGAAAATTCATATTATTGACAATAGGAAACTACCACAACATGTCACAATCCAAGCAAAGTATGAAGATCAACCAAAAATGATGGTGAGTATATATGTTCATTTCTGCTTGGCTAAATGATCATTTTTAAGTTTCTAATTGTTCAAGCATTCTACATACAACCAACTTCTAATTAAGTTTTACTATTGCTTTTATCAGTTGAAAGGATTGACAGGATACATGAAACACCTTGGATATGAAGATGCTGATAGAATTGAAGAATACAAAATTGTTTTGGAGAAGATGAAATGGCGTAGCAACGATGATTATACAAACTGTGGAGTATACATTATGAAGCACATGGAAACCTTCACTAGTGATCCTAATGAGAAATGAGTTTGTGATTTAAAAGCAAACAATGTAAGTATCATAAATGTTCAATTATAAAATACATAATGTTCATTTAAAAAAATGTACAAAAAATAAACATTATAATTTACTTTGTTCAACAGGTGAACCAGATTAGGAAGCTAAGGATTTAATATGTAACAGAGCTGATGCTATTTGAAGAAAACACTGAAGCAAGGATAAATAGAAGAAAAGCACGAAAGTTTGCAAAGGAGAAATGTCATCACATGTTCATTTATGAATATAAATATGATCAATTTATATATATAGACATATAGATTTTATGTTTTTCATAGAGTATTTTATATAATGTTTCTTATAATTATTTGAATATTGACAATATTACTCTCTTTTTTAGATACAGTTTATATGAAAATTGCAAATTTAAAAATTTGTTTTTAGATACAATTTAAATTACTTAATAAACAAAACATTTAAAATGTTCATTACCAATAGAGTATATGCTCAATACCAAAATCAAATTTGTTCAATTACAACACTTGCAACAAAATATTAAACTGAAGTATATATATTAGTTCAACAAAAAAAATTCTTACTTGTTATTTTTTGCCAACCTCTTAGCAACATTAGTATCAAAAAATGCTAAAAACCTATCATACTTATAAGAAACATGGTGACCACCACGTTGAGTGCCTTGAACACATTCATCATTTGAAGGAGTTGTAACTTCAATTCTTCTCGAAGATGGTAAAGGAATTTGAACAGGTTTTGGAGGTAACTGATCATTTCTTGAAGGTAATTGAACATTTGCTGAAGAACATTGAACATTGATTGGAGGAACTTGAACATTTCTTGCATGAAATCGAACATTTCTTGCAGGAAATTGAACATTTCTTGAAGGAACTTGAACATTTCTTGGAGGTTTACTTGAAGAAACATGAGCAGTACTTGAAACATTTAAATCCTTCTCCTACATAAAAAATATTAAGCATTATCATAAATATAAATATACATATTAAAAATTATAAATGACATTTAAAAGAATAAATATACCTTAGAAAGAGCAGAAATACCTTCATCAAAAGATATATTGGATCCAAAAGAACTTTCAACAACAACCTAATAATACAAAAATTATATTTACATAATGGAAATAATTTCAAAAAATAAAAACAAAACAAATTAAAAAAATAATACCTAACTAAAACCATTAAAAATACTTTCATCAGAGTCATTAGAAGAATAAGGAACCTTTTCTACAGAAGATGCCTTCTTAGCAACCTAAATTATAAAAGCATAAAATATGATCATTCATAGAAACATAAATGATCAAATTTGTGAAAAAAAAATTATAAAAATATTACCTTAGAAGGTGGGTTTTTCAATATAATCAGTTCATTAGAATCACACATAGAATTAGCATAAGAAACAGGAAGTCCATCATCATCAAATTCCTAAAACAAAGAAAATAAACATTAGTATTAAACTAAATGATCAAATATGAAAACCTTTATGTTCAATAGTACCTGAACTCCTGCTTGACCTTTAGCCCTCACATATGGTGTATATGATGACTTACTCTTCCTCCAATTACCCCTAGCTTTATTAAACTCTTTTTCTACAATACATTTAGGCTGTACATTTCTCTCACCAATAGGCCTTTTTTCGGAGGATTATTAACTTCATGATCAACAATTTCAATACCTTCAGCAGCCTCATTGAAATCAATTGTGCCCCTAACACTCTCAACTTTGTCTTTTAAAATATTTAAATAGAGGTCAACTTCAGCTCTTGCAGGCCAAGAATTTAGACAACTAATTACCAACTTCACAAACTTCCTTAATGTTTGTGACCTCCAAACAATAGTAGACACCAAATTAGTTCTTGAAGAAGGTTTATCAATAGTAGTATGAGTACACATTGCAGCCTTTGTCCAACGCTTCGTAATATACTCATTCGGAATCTTAGGTACACAATGTAAATGATATACACGAAGAGAATGAGAACATAACAATCCCATTTCACTAAAGTACATGCATGTGCAACATATAGCATGAGTTTCTTTGTTGAAAACAACTTCATGCCTAATCATATCTTTACCAGATCTCCATAAATGGTATGAATATTCCGGAAAATGAAGACCAGCATCAGAATGTTCATAAGCAGTACCCTTAATGAACTCTTATTAAAAAATAATATATGCTTGAATGGTGTACAAAGACTTAGCATGAACTAAAATGCTAATATGAGCAAAAGCAAGATGACGATTACCCCTCAATGTATTATAATCATTTCCATTCTCTTTGCTCCTCCACTTAGAAATAACATCAAGAAAAACATGGTAAAAGTCACACAAACCTTGTGTCTTATTAAGCCTTTCCGAAACAGATTTATTTGTAGTTTTACTTCGTTGAGATGATAAAACACCACCAGACCAATGCTTCTTAGAATAGGCAGGACACCACATCTCTTTAATCTTGTACAAATCACACAACCAATCATCTTTTTCACATTTATATTTCATTAACATTTTGCATAAAAGATATGATCATTAGATTATGTATAAATGAACACATTTAGTAATAAAATGTACATATATACAACAATAAATGATCATATTAATAAAATACAATGATCAAATTTGAAAAACCATATTAAAATTAATAATAACTAAAATACCTTTTCCAAAAATGTTCAAATTCAGCAGGGGTTCCACAATACTTAAGCAAGTAACCAAACAAATCTTTAAATCCATCTAAAGTTCTCAAAGCCCCAATATGCTTCTTTGAATTTTTCTCAATGTGCCAAACACAAAGACGATGATGCACACTTGGAGGAAATACATTTCGAATACTGGCTGCAATTGCTTGAGCTTGATCAGTCATAATTGTGATAGGACTTTTGTTTCCCATAGATTTCAAAAATGTATCAAAAAGCCACACAAAAGATTCAGTTCACTCATTGAAAATAAAACCCATACCAAACACGAGGTTATTAGCATGATGATTCATACCAACAAACAGAGCACAAATCATTCCATATTTATTTGTCCTATACGTGGTTTCAAAAACCAGCAAATCTCCAAAATACTCATAATCTCTCTTCATCCGACCATCACGCCAAAAAAAGTTAACTAAACACCCATCCTCATCTTGTTCAAAGTCATAGTAAAATTCAGCTTCATCAAGTTGTCTTTTAGCAAAGTATTTGATCAATTGATGACTGTCACAACCATCAAGTAAAGATCGTTTTTCAGCAGATAAAGCGTTATAGGCATCCGATCCCGTAAATCCTAAATTAGGAGACCCACCAACATCCTTCTTCATTGCCCTCAACGCTGCAGAAATTTTAACTCCACTACACCTTAATGTAGACATGAATTGCAAATTTTCTTTATAAACCCTTCTTTGAGACCTTAACAAATGTCTCTTTTCAAGAAGAATCATATGATGATTATGTTTCATGTAATGCTTTGTACATGTCCATAAACCTAAACGATCAATCTTAAACTGAATAAAAGCCAAACAACCAGTTCTTATATCAAGTCTCTCATAAGCCCTTTTATTCTTTGCCTTCTCATCCTTCCAACCTTCATTGAAACAAACAAATCTTTTCATCTTCAAAGAGCCATCATTTTGAGATTTACTTTTATCAATTCTAATACCAAAACCATGCTTAAAAGCATAGTCATTATAAGTATCATAAGCTTCTTGTTCAGAATTAAAATCTTTATAAAGTAACTCCGATTTAGTTGCTTCTTCAAACAGAATTTCATCACTAGTACCCACTGCATAAGTTTTTCAAAATGAACATAACGAATAACAGAAATGTACAAATACAAAACAGAACATATACAAATGATCATTTAGCATTTTCAATGTGATCCAAATATTTAAATAATATAAAGCTCTAAATATTATTATAACTGATAACGATCATTTATAATTGTACAAATGTTCAGAATAATAAAACAACAGAAACATAACATAGAGTAATAAATGATAATTCACAGTAGCGTAAAACATAAACTAATAACTAATAAAAATAAGGAAATTTTAGATTTTAACACCTCCATAAAAAAATTGATTTTAACACCACACAAACTAACAAAAAATGGGTATTACCACTACTTTACGGATTCCTAAACGGAATCAGTTAAGTGCCACGTGTCGCTTTCTTATTGGCCAAAAAAATTAAAAAAATTAAAAAAAATAAAAAGACCTAAAACTACCCAGCCACCCCAGCCCCGCCGCCGCGCCACCACCACCTAACCACCCACCCACCCCTACCCTCCCAAAAACCAACACCAGCAACGCCTTCGCTCACCCAACCTAGCTGAACCCTCCCCCTCCCTTTCCCGCAACCGCTTCGCCCCCAAAAACCACCTAACCCAAAACCCTCCTTCCCTAATACGGTCACGATTCTGACCAAAAATGGTCGAAATCGGCCGATTAAGGCAACTGAACCCCAAAACCGGCCGATTTCGTCCATTTGTGGCCGGAATCGCGACCGTATTGGGGAAGGAGATTTTGGGTTTGGTCGTTTTTGGGGGCGAAGCCATTGCGGGAAAGGGAGGGGGAGAGTTCATCTGGGTTGGGGGTGTGAAGGCGTCGCGGCCGGTGGTGCTTTCGGGGAGGGAAGGGGTAGTTCTATGGTTGGCGATGGTGGCGCGGTGGTGGGGCTGGGGTAGTTTTAGGGTTTTTTAATTTTTTTTTTTAATTTTTAAATTTTTTTTTAAATAACTAAAATTGTGACACGTGTCACTGAGGACCCCACTTAACGGAATTTTTGGACGGAATCCGTTAAGTGGTGGTAATACCAATTTTTTGTTAGTTTGTGTGGTGTTAAAATCAATTTTTTTTTTATGGAGGTGTTAAAAACCATTTTCGGGTTTTTGTGTGGTGTTAAAATCTAAAATTTCCTAAAAATAACATACATAATAATGAAATGATAATTTACAGTAATCAAAATCAAAATTCACAAATATAACTAAATCAGAAACTAAATCAAACAATTATACAACAAATAAAACTAAAATAGCATTCAAAATCAGAGTACTCAAAATCGAGCTAAAACAGAGACTAAATTAATCTAAAAAAATTTAATAAAACAAATCACATTCATAATACTACTAAAACAAAAGCAAAATTACTCCAAACAACTCAAATGGATCATAATCAAACAAATCACATACATTAAACAACTAAAACAGAAGCAAAATTAATCGAAACAACTCAAATTGATCATAATAAAAAAAATCACATACATTAAACAACTAAAACAGACGCAAAATTAATCGAAACAACTCAAATTGATCATAATCAAACAAATTACATTAAAAAAACAACTAAAACAGAATCAAAAGTGTTAAAAAAAAGTTACATTGATCAACAAATGAATTAAACAATCCAGTAGAAGACGGAAAAAACAGCTTCACAATCACGATCAAACTGAGAAATCGAAGAATGCTGAATTTCAGAATCACGATCAACATCTACAATCACGAATTCATCCATAATTGATAGGAAAACAACGATCTAGAGAGAGAAAATGAGCAAAAAGGAGTGAAAACACAAAAATTAGGTTTAAAATGAAATATATAGGTGGCGTGAACTATAAGTAAGGAAAAGAAGAAAGAGGAAAAAAAAAAGAAAAAAAAAAAGAGAGAGAAATGCATAAATGATCAAAACGACGTAGCTAAAGAGGGGGAGTAGACAGCAATAGCTAAAGGAGGTTGTAGGTAAAAATTTTCACTATTGGACCCATATCATGTACCAACCAAACTGGATTGGCTGTTTTCTTAAAATAGATTTTCAAAAACAGAGAGAAGAGAAAAGAAATAAAAACTTTCCGCAACACTAAACTTTCCACACTTTCACTTCATTCGATTATGATTCGACGTGAAAGGTACTCTCATCACCGGGTTTGGTTTTGGGGAGACACAAATGGGTGTCTACAATTATTAATTATTAATAATTTATTATTATTATTATTATTATTAATTATTAATAATTTATTATTTTTTTATTTTTATTAAATATCAATAATTAATTATTGTTATTATTATTATTAAGTATTAATTATTATTATAGTTAAATATTAAATATTTATTATTAAATATTAATTATTTATTATTATTATTAATTATTAATTATTATTATAATAATTCAATATTAAGTATTAATTTTAAGTAGAGCAGAGCAGAGCAGAGCAGGGCAGAGTAGAGTAGAGTAGAGCAGATTGAAGTAGAGCAGAGCAGATTTCAACAAAGTAGAGCAGAGCAGAGCAAAGCAGATTTCAGCAGAGCAGAGCAAAGCAACTCTAAAGAACGGAGTCGTAGTGTATATTTCGTTAGCAACTCGACTAATTAAGGTTGATGCAACAAGCCAACAATATGATCCTCCTTGTTATATTGTTAAATTAATGTTTTCTTCGATTTCCGATAACTAAAGCAATGGTGTTGATAACGTATCATGAAATAAGGGGAAAAGGGAGAATATAAGAGGGAGATGTAGATAGTTAATTGTGTTGTCTCTCTCTCTTTATATACACACACACACACACACACACACACACACACACACACACATATATATATATATATATATATATATATATATATATATATATATATATATTGATGTGAGCAATATAACCTATATGGACAATGAAAAGTCCATTCATGAAAAGTTACAATGTGAACTAAAGGCATATGGAGGTTACAAAAGAAAGTTATAAAGACACTAAAGATAGTCATATTAAAGAGATAGTTACAAGGTATAATGGGCATACATTATTATTCGTAACAGTTTTATATTTCCTCACATATAGGCTAGTTTTAATTCCTGACTTCGCCCCTGGGTGTCAGTGTCAGTGTCAGTTCGGGTTCTCTTCGATGTTCATGTCTTGAGCTTTTGGTCCATCCCGACTAGTTAAGTTAGTTTGGCTTATTTTGGTCCATAGCATGGTTATGGTTCAATCCTCTTGGTTGTCAAGGCTCCGCCGCTACAATGTTTGATGTGAGACTTTTTCAATATGTTGTTCTCTTCGTTCTTCCTGTAATGGTAGGTAGTAAACCCTTTACGAGGGTTTGTTTAGACGTGTTGCTTAGCTCTCTTAGAGCATCAGCAATGGAGAGGATTACTCTCCTTTTAGCCATCCTTTTTTGTACTTTTGTTGTTCCTCTTGAATGTTGAAGTAGGTAAAAGGATCCTCTCCACTACAAGTAAATAACCTTTTTGTAGCGATTATTTTAACCTTTAGTATCGATTGTAATTGCAATAAAAAGCTTTCCCAACGGATGGTCAATCGATACAATATCCCCCATTGCCTTAGCCTTTAGTAGTGGTTTTCTATATCGCTGGGGTTGGTCTCAATAATCGATACGAAAAACTACATCCAATCGTGGTGATTATTGTAGCGATTACAATTGCTATAAATGTTTAACTCATTTTCTTCAAAAAAAAAAAACATGCGTATGATCTTTACAAGATTCGAACATGCAACCTCAAACTCTTATATTAAATGTTTCACCAATAAGCTATGACATATTTTATGTATTCTTTGTCAAACAATATTTATATATCTAGTGTTGAAAAGGCTTTTCATATCGATTTGTAGGATTTAGTGGCGATTGTAAATGATACGATTTCTCAAAATTATATAAATGTGTAAAAATAGTGTGGATATGTATTATTATGTTTTCCGTATCGATTTTATATGGGAAAACCATGGCTATTGTAAAATGATACGAATTCCTTAATTATTTCACAAACATACTTGCATATTGTAGCGAATGTACAATTGCTACAAAATAATCGCTATGAAAAGACATTTTTCTTGTAGTGCTCTTGGGAAGTACACTAACATTTCCTTTATGTGGAAAGGAAATATTGCCTCGTCCCGTGCGCAAAAGCAAGCAAAAGCAAACAACAGAAAAAGAAAAAAAAAAGGAAAATTTGTTCAAAAGGACCACTGAAGTGGCCTCTTTTGTTCAAAAGGACCTATTAAGGAAAAAGTTATTTAAAAGGACCACAAAAGACAGTTTGGGTTGTTGAGGAGGACCAAAGCCGATTTTCAGGCAAGTCAATGCCGGACTCTGGCGTTGGCCATCACGTGCCAAGCACGTGACTCATTAATTTCACCAAAATTTAATTTTTTTTCCTTTTTCCATAATTTTTCTCTAATTCTCCAATTAACCCCAATTTAACCCTTTTTAATTTCATTCTCTCTCCTTTCTTTCTCTATACTCATCTTGCTTGTTTGCCATTGTTAGTGAGGTCAAAGCATCAAGTAAAATGGTTAATGAAATTAACTTCACCACAAGCAGCAAATAAGCACAACATCAACCCACAACACGCTAACCCTCCTCCCACTTCACCACCGACAACAACCAGGCCACCACTCCAACACACTTCCGCACCTCCACCAAACAGCCCAAGCAAGCACCTAACGAAGCCACAACCACCTAAACCCACAATCCTTACCTTGTGCGAATTATCCTCAATTGTAGTGTGGATGAATTCGTTTGGAAATAAATGCGAATTACTGGTTGAATATAATCAAAGCAAGGTTACATAAATGAGGAGAGAGAATAAAGGGGAAAAAGGGATAATTGGGGTTAAAGGGAAAAGTGGAGGGAAATTGTGGAAAAAGGAAAAAGCAAATTTGGTTCATGGTTTAGTTTCATGGTTTATGCTTTGAGGAGTGAGAAAGAAGAAGAAAGGGAAAAATTGGGGGTAAAGGGGAAATTTGGGGGGGATTGGTGGAAAGAGGGAAAAAAAGGGAAAAAAAAAATTTGGCCTCAAAATAATGAAGCACGTGCTTGGCACGTGATGGTCAACGCCGGATTCCGGTGTTGACTTGCCTAAAAATCGACTTTGGTCCTCCTCAATAAATCAAACTGTCTTTTGTGGTCCTTTAAAACAACTTTTTCCTTAATAGGTCCTTTTGAACAAAAGAGGCCACTTCAGTGGTCCTTTTGAACAAATTTTCCTAAAAAAAAAAGGGAAAAGTGTCTGTTGGAGGCAAAATGCCAAACCAACGTGATAAACCAACGGTCAAATGCAAACAAGAACAAGTTATCTTGTGACACTTGTCACAACGAGAGTGGTCACGTATTTTTGTGACTTAAATCTTTATAATGGCTATAACTTGTTAACGGTAACTTATTTCAGAAAAACCAAAAGCACCAACGGTTATAAATTTTTTTCTGTATAAAATGAGTATAATTTTTCCATATTTTCACACACTTTCATTTTTTGCATTTTTTCCCGATTAATCTCATCTATTGTCGAAAACATCTAATATCACTCAAACAAATTTTTTTCCACTAATTTCACTTCCAATTTCAAATACCCTTCATATGGATCGTAATAATTCAAATTACGGAAATAATATGAATTTTCCAAATAATCCAAACTTTCAATATAATCAATATAATCCTCCTTTTGACCCAAATTTATTGAGTAATCCAAATTTTCAAGCTGCTTTGCGATGGTTTAATAGTCAATCAAGACCAATAAATTAAATGTCAATAATATTCCACAATGTCAGCCTCATTTCCCTTTTCCTCAAAGTAGCTCGTCATCTCAACAATCTCTTGGTAATATGCAATGGCGGGTTTTCCCATTTCTGAACATTTCACTCATAACATGGATCAATCACCGGGAGGTTTTGGTGTTAGCAATGCAACTCCAATAGAGGAGACTGGTGATGAACATGTGGAACAATTAGTGGGGGTGCAACATCTAGAAGACATTAACGATGTTGATGTCGAAATTGTTTCCGAACAAAATGTCAACACCACCGGGCAAAGGAAAAACCAATCATGGATCATAGCTGAAGACAAAGCACTTGTATCGGCCTACATAAACGCAGGGGGTGACGTAGTGAGAGGAACCAAGACAAAGAGAAGTGGGTTATGGGTTGACATCTATAACCACTATGAACGTTCTAGAATAGAAAACCCCACTGAAATAAAGGTAAGAAACATTAAATCTATGCAAAATCGCTGGGATCATATAAATTCACATTGTAGTAAATGGGTAGATGCACATGGGTATCATTATCGAACCAAGGGTAGTGGTGAGTCCGAGCAAAATTTGGAGAATTTTTCTCACAAAGATTACTACGCAACTAACAACAAGATGTTTTGTTTATTGCACTGTTTTGAGGAGTTGAGAAAATATCCGAAATGGGATCCATCTTTGGCCAAAGATCAATCGACTATGTTACCAAGTGGCCAATAAACGTCAACCAAAAGTGGGGGAAGTGGTAAAAGATCACAACCTGATTCACCATCCGAGGTTGGAGGAAGAGGTAAAAGACCAGCTGTCATAAAACAAACAAAGATGAAAGGTAAAGCATCTACTACTTCAACTTCAAGTATAAATCTTGAAGCGTTAAGCACAAATTTTAACGAAGTTGGTGATAAGTTGAATGATTTGGGTGGGCGACTTCTAGATCAGTTGAAGGAAAGAGATGAACTTAAAAAAGCACAAGTTGAAGAAAAGAAAAGGCAAAAGGACGAGACCATGAAGTTTAGAATGTTAGAAAGATTAATGCAGAAGCCCGTTCTTGATGAAGTTGAATTAGAAATGTATAAGAAACTTAGAGATGAATTCAGTAGTAGATTTTCGATTTGATTTAATTTACCTGATTGTACCGAGTAATCATGATTTGTTTTACGATTATGAGTTGTATGTTTTATAATTATTGTAACTTTGCAGAATTATTGTCAATGTACCTTTTTAATATGAATGTAATTTCTATGTATTAATATGAACTTTATGTTTACTAAATTGAGTTCAAGTCTGTTAATGTTACTTTATATTATTGTGATAATGTATAAGATTGCTACCCATGACATTTCATCTAACTAAAATCATATCTTCTGACATCCTTTGTTTTATGACCACATATCATCATCTGAAATCTAATCTTCTAACCTTGTCTTTTTTTGTCTAGATAATTTATCAAATTGCTCCCATGACATTTCATCTAACCAAAATCTTATCTTCTGACATCCTTTGTTTTATGACCACATATCCTTGGGAGAAATCTTATCATCTGACTAACCTTATCCTATTTTTATCTATAAAGTTCATAATATTACTCCCAATAACATTACATCTCTCAATATCAACCTTATTTTCCCATTGGCATTTAAAAAAAAAAACCAAAACCTTCTATTTCAAATATTGTTTGGTAATAAACATAATATGAATCGATTCAAACTCTTCAAGTTCTTCTTCTTCATCTTCGTCTTCAAGTTCAACTGATGATATCTATGATCAAATGGTCATGAATTTTATCAACGAGAGTCATCGATTACAAGTAATGCAAAATGCAGTACTTGTAGCTGTAAACAATTCAGTACAACAAAATGAACATAAACGTCAAAGAAAACGAAGAATAACTGTGCCGAGAAATCGTGAAGCAGCTCACGACAATTTAGTTTCAGATTATTTTAGTGACCAACCAGTATACGATGAAACCACATTTCGAAGGAGGTTTCGTATGCGAAGACCCCTTTTCCTTCGCATTGTCAACACATTAAGTGCAACTAACCGTTACTTCCAACAACACCCAGATGCTACCATGCGTCTTGGTGCTTCACCCCTTCAGAAATGCACAACAGCCATACGTATGTTAGCTTATGGTTGTTCTGCTGATCAAATAGATGAGTATCTGAAGCTCGGTGAAAGCACTGCCAGAGAATGTTTTGCACAGTTTGTCGACGGAGTAATTGCTCAATTTGCAACTGAGTACCTTCGCAAGCCAACATTGGAAGATATCCAACGCCTCCTTAGAGAAGGGGAGGATAGAGGTTTCCCTGGCATGTTGGGCAACATTGCTTGCATGCATTAGGTTTGGAAAAATTGTCCAGCTGGATGGAAAGGAATATATCAAGGAAGATCTAAAACGGCGACTGTTATTTTAGAAGCGATTGCTTCCAGGGATTTATGGATTTGGCACGCCTTCTTTGGGACTCCTGGATCCCGCAACGACATTAATGTAGTTCAGCGCTCTCCGGTGTTTGATGATATAATAAATAATCGTGCTCCACAAGTTCTGTTCACTGTTAACGGAAATAATTACAACAAAGGATATTATCTCACAGATGGGATTTATCCAAAATGGTCGACATTCATAGACGCTATTGCAGTCCCACAAACCTTAAAGGATAAATTGTTCACTACACGTCAAGAGAGTGCTAGAAAGGATGTTGAGCGTGCATTTGGTGTGTTACAAGCTCGGTTTGCAATAGTCCGGAAGCCTGCTTTGGCATGGAGTGTAGAGTTGATGTGGAAAATCATGATGACTTGCATCATCATCCACAACATGATAGTTGAAGACGAATGTGATACATATTTAAACTATAAAGATCCACTAGAATTCGCTCAAGAACAGCCTGAAAATATGTCAGGGTCGTCCTCAACCAGAAATGCAACAACATTTATCGTAACTCCTGGGCAGTATGATCCTGATAATTTTAGTAGATTGATTGCTTCAAGAGGGGAGATTCGCGATAGACAAGTTCATGAGGCATTAAAGAATGACTTGGTTGAGCATTCATGGGCAAAGTCAAGGAGCTCGGTTGAAAATTAGCATTTTGATAATTTTAAATTATGTGTGTTATTTTCGTTGCTTTATTTTCATCCGTGTATTTCAAATTTTTAATTTATGTCTTTTAATTCATGTATTTCGTATTTTACTAATATTTTATATTAATGTGAAAAAGTATTAGTTGCCGTATTTTTGTTCGATTAATAATAATAATAACAACAACAACAACAACAACAACAACAACAACAACAACAACAACAATAATAACAATAACAATAATAATAATAAACATATTTTACAAACTAAAATAATACTCCCTCCGTTTCACTTTGTTAGTCAGTCCTCTTTGGAATCAGTCACTAAAATAAGAAAAGAAGGAATCTTAGTAATTTGGAATTTGATTGCAATTTTGTAATTAATGTTTTGTCTTTTCTTGTTTTATTTATGGTTATTGGCTATAATTTATCGCCTATAATAAATTTTGATTGAAAAATTTGCCGTGTCAGCAATCCACTAGCACATACATTAACCAATCAAAATTATTTGATTCTTTAAACACCCAATTAGATTAATTATTTATGTATTATGAAAATTATTCACCTTATAATAATGTTAGGAAATATTCAATATGGGTACATCATTTTGAAACGTCCAAAATAGTATATGAGACTAACAAAATAAAACGGAGGGAGTAATTAAGTGTGTAAATAGGAGAGAAAATATATGGTGGGGTATAATCTAAATAGGAGAGAGTATTATTTCAAAAAAAATAAAAATAGGAGAGAGTATATGGGAAAGAATACTCATTGGTGTTGAAAATATTTAAGAAAAAGGATAAGTAAAAGGGTGGAGATAGTGGGAAGTGATGTGAATGAAAGAGAGTGTGATGTGTCAAGCGGAGGAAATGAGAAAGAGATTGGGAAAGGATTGTTGCATACTCTTCATTGCTGATGCTCTTAGGTTGTGATATTGCTTTTATTTATGAAGTCTCTTTGTAATAAAAAAAAAATAATTTTTTTTTTTAAAAATACAACCCTTAACGGGAGTACAGAGCCTGAATTTACACACCTTTGCCACAAGAAAATACACCGTAACTGATGAACCAGAATTTACACACCTCAGCAGAGTATATTTGGACACTTTCTTCCGTTACCACTTCAACTGACACACAACTATCAACTCCAACTCCCATTTACACCATCATCATCTTCTTCCTTCTCATCAATTCACACTAAAACCCTAATTTCATATTCATCCTTAATTCTGCAAATTCAAGCACAAAAAACCCCTAAATTTTTCAGAGAAATACGTCTTCAAACTATGAAAGATCGGCCGCAATCTACGGTGTACGTGCCACCGCACCAGCGGCTTAGGTCAGTTATCACCGTGCCTTCTCCGGCTTCTCCACAATCTCCAATTCGCAGCAGTAGTATCGACCATCATCAAACTGTTAGTTCAAGCCCTAACCCTAATTTTGATGCTAGAATTTGTTGTAATAGTCAGAATCAAAGTGGTGGAATTGGGCATTTTCAGTTTAATCAACAGCGGAATGTGTCTCCTTCTCCTAATCCGAAGCAACAGAGTAAGGGATTTGGGAATGTGAATTCGAATTCAAATAGTTTTCACTATAAGTTCTACAGTCAACCGAAGAGTAGCAATTTGTTTCAGTATGATCGTCAAGTTAGTGATAATCAGCCAAGTTCGGTAGCTGATGAAGTTTCCGAAGAGGGGTCTGACCGCGAATTCGGGGAGTCTGAACTGCCTTCGTATTCTTCTGGGGTAAGTACTTTCAATTTTGCTGCATTTTATTTATTATTGCTGGTTTTTATTTAAGGTAGATTAAATTTAATTTTGCATGGAATTTGGAGAGTGAAGCAAGTATTGCCTTATAATTATAATGATTAAAAGGGTTATTGATGGTATTTGTAGCATAATGGAATTTATATCTTGGTCTCACTTGCTTTTTGCTTGCCATTTATGAGGCATTTGTAGTACCTTTGAAAGTGTATCAACTGTAGTGATGGCGGATGGAGAATTAAAAAAATGTCAGACAAATATTTCACAGGAGCAAGGTTATCAAGATTGGGAAATCCTAACTGGGATAAGTGAGGTGGGTGGGTCGAATCAGTAGAATTAAATAGTAGGATTGTATGATCTACTTACAAGCGAAAAAGTATACGTTATGCTACATTTTTACATAAAATTTTATTTAACTGCAATAATTAAAGATACATTGTGCTCAAGGTTGTCAAAATATGGTTTACTTTTGAATATTATTAACGTCAATTTATCAATTGACTTAATAATGTAATTTTTTTGAATTGTGTCTATTTAATAGCTATGGCTGAATACTTTAAACAAATGTGCATACGTACTTTAAAAAAACTTATCATAGGATTGTAAAATTATAGGATCATGTTAAAATCGTTCCTCTCATTTTATTTTTTTAATCCAAGTAGATCCGACAATCCTTAAGATTTGAGTTGCCATGTTCATGATGTTATTTTAGTTATTAATTATGCATTGAGGTTATTAGTGGCAATGACCACTTTGTTTGTGGAGAAAAGGCATAATGTTCTCCTGTAACACCTTTGAAGAAGCGCTTTTCTGCACATGCTTTTTCATTGGAGATAGCGTGGGATTAAGTTATTAATTGTAGCAAATGACCTTATAAGTCTCAACTTGCTAGAAATTTCTTCGATTGAACCTCAATATTTTGTTCTCTTTAGCTTATAGAGTTTATTCTTGTTAAACTGAACTTGTTTTGTTCAACTTAATTATTTTGCTAAAAGGAACCACCTATTAATATTAATTATATTAGTATAATTAAGACCATCCTTATTGCTGTTAATTTAAATGTATCTTAAATAAACATCCTTTGACCATAATTTACATAACTAGTTTTGGTAGTTGTATGATACTTGGGTTTTGTCCATTTTCCTAAGATTTGAATCGTGAAGAAAATAGTGAGAAATCAAGCTGCTGAAAGTCTATGATGTTGAAAGTTTAAGAGATAATGTTCTATAATTATGAATAAAATATCAATCTTTATTTGAACTTGGGATGCAATGGGGCTAATCAGGTTAGTTCAGTTTTATCTCTCTTCAAAATATATCTCTCACCCTCTCTTTCTTCGATCTTCTCCTGCTCTCTCTCTCCCCCCCCCCCCCCAATCATCTCTTTCTATTGTTTTTTCATTCTTCTTCCTTCTATATATTTTTTTCTTCTCAGTCACTCCCTTCTAGGTAGATGACCACCCTCTCAAATAGTGAGCCCCTCTTCAAGTCCTGCCCTCTTCTCTGATCTTTTTTAAAGAAGGCACTTAATTTAGTGGTGATACCCTTTCACACCTTCTCTGTGGCAGAAAGTACAACTAGTTTAAAACATAAATTAGTCTCTTTGGTAGTTTGGTGCGCCTCAATTTCCAAAAGGTGTGCACCTTTGCTTTGCACCTTGGCCCCAGGAAGCAGGGACCCTTTGCGCCGCGTTGCACCTTGTCCCAGTGACCCTTTGCGCCGCATTGCACCTTGTCTTAGGGACCCTTTGCGCCATATTGCACCTCATACCTAGTGAAACAAAGGATGGCTTATGATGGTATTAAAAATCGATGCATTGTGAAAAAACCTCACAATTTCAGGGAAAAGTTATATTGATTAAAAAAAAAAAACCCTAAAGAAAAGAAATTCAACTTCAAAATCTAAGAAACGGGGTTGCTGCCCACAATATACTTGATGGCAGCACAAACAAGAATATAGAGCTTATGTGGGAACAAGGTGAAAGACAGAAAGAGGGCTAGTGTGTAAACTTGATCACTTCTATCATGCCTTTTCGGCTTAGTCAATTTTTTTATCTATTATTTTCTGATGTCTTGAAACATGTTGTTGTCTATAATTTCAATGTAGTTTCAGCCTGCTTCATTTGCTGATAATGTGGATCAATGGAAATGGAAGTTTAACATGCTTCTAAGAGACAAGGATAAGCAAGAATTGATATCTAGGGATAAAAAAGACAGACGTGACTTTGAACAGATTGCTGCTTTGGCAAATAGTATGGGTTTATATAGGTATGTTGAGTTTGATAAAGATTTTGCTGCTTTAATCTGCTTCTATTCTAAGACTATGTGTTGCCTTTTGCAGCCATTCATACGTCAAAGTAGTTGTATTTAGCAAGATTCCACTGCCTAACTATAGATTTGATCTTGATGAAAAGCGTCCCCAGAGAGAGGTACTGCAGCTTCTACTTCCCAATACAATTTGATGTGTCATGTCATTGTTCTACTTTGCATTGATTCTTGTTCCACTTTGCATGTATTTATGCCAACTCTGCTATTCCTCAGATCTTCAATTCTCTTTACAACTCAATTTTAAGACTTCTTACTCCATTAGCTCTTGCTATAATCTGTTCACAGGTTGTAGTAGATTGTAATTTGCAAAGGAGAGTGGATGCTTATCTTGCTGACTACCTTTCTCATAAATCTAAGAGTGTAAATGCTTTACAAAATAATGGGTTTTCAAGATCAAGCAGTAGTGGTAGTATAGCCACTGATGAAGGTCTCTTTGAGCAACCAGAACCTCTGAATCTTAGCAATGTTGTCATGGAGAGAATTATTAGGCGAAGAAACTTACAGCTGCGTGATCAGCAGCTTGCTTGGCAGGTTCATCCTTACAGTATACCATTGTTGTCTAAAACTAAAAATTTATTGCTTTTAAAAGTAGGTTCAATCTAGTACTTTTTATTTTTCTAATAGAGTTGCATAAAATTTGTGACAGGAATGCCCTGAAGGGAGGAAAATTCTTGAGTTTCGCAGAAGCCTTCCAGCGTTTAAGGAGAGAGATGCTCTGATAACAGCTATATCAAGTAATCAGGTAACTCTTGTTATAATTCATCAAATTTGACAGATGGGCTAGGATTACGCCACTTTTGCAGTCATGTTTGTGCAAAGTCAGCTTCTATGACTTTCCCTGCTTCTCCTTTCTCGACTATTTTTTAATTGGCCTGAAGATTCTTCTGTAGATCGCCGTCAATTGATGAGAAGAGTGAAA